CACAGTCAGCAATTCGAAGCGTATTCACTACATATACATATGTACGCTGGTAAGCAATTTTTTATTGTAATAATTTTTGTTCTTTTTTTCGCATATTTACCTTTCGACCTTCTCTGCATTTTTGTTGACTTATTGCGTTTACGCTTGCTGAATTGACCAAAAATACTGTTCACCCACTGCTACCGCTTGCTACCAATGCCGCATACAAAGCGGGCATAGAGCATGCCGAAAAGGTAAAACCAGCAAAAAGAAGAGAGAGAGAGTATGTTGGCTAGAAACTACAGTGAGCAGTGAGTGTCGATCGTAAAAATGTAATGAAAACAAGAAAACATATGAACAGCAACTACGAAAACTAGCAAGTTTCTACACACTGCTTTCGCACCTGCACCAACGGCTGTGCTGCGGCCGCTACGCTTGTTTGACTAATCGCCTTGCACTGTTTTCGTGCAACTTCTTTACTCTGGTTTGTTGTCTTCTTTGCGGTATATTCTAAATGTTTTATTTGCATTATATTACACCTTCATCCACCCATTCGACCGCTTTCATCAAAACACACACACACACGCACACACAGTACACCTTACGGCTTGACTTCGTAGCCCGAAGTATTGGAGAGTTCGTATCTTAAGTCTTTGGTTTGCCAAAGTTCAGTTTCTTCGTGTTCGTCGCCAGCATTGGTTGTGTTTAGCGGATAAAAGTGACTGCTACTGTTGTGTTTATGCATACATATTGACATGCTTACTATATATTTACTTTGGAGGTATATAAACAAATACAAATTCTAACTGTGCTGCAAATAAAGTGAAATCCAACAGCAGCAAAAGATCGTGTCTAAACGTGTTTGGGCTGCAAAAATTTCACAGAGTGATTTTCTTTTCTGTTTTTTTTTTTCAAAAGTAACAATGTGTATATTCACCACTTTTGGATGTAAATAAAATAATGTACGATTATTTAAGATATTTACTCGAAATTCTAACAACAAAACGAAACGAAGTGCTCACTGAGTGATATATCCATTGAGTTTAATAAGTAAGTGCGCAAAAACAAAATTGATGGCTGCGTGTGTGTATGTGCGCGTGGCATTTGCTGTGAAAGTGCAAATAAAAGTTGTTAAACTTGAAAGAAAATAAGAAAAAAATCATAATAATAATGATTGTATGCGTTGAAAGCACTTTTTCTTTAATATTATTCTAAGTGAAATTTTGTGGCTTTGCTGAAAAAGGAGAGAAGAAGAAGAATTTGCATAAATTTATTGAGCGTGTTTGATGATTAGGTAAACTCGGTGTTGGAAGCATTAACAACACAGCACAAGAACAAAAATAAATCTGTTTCGATTGATGATGGGCCATGGTAGTGTTTTATTTATTTATTAGTTTTTTTTTTTTTAAATTCAAAAATTTTTTTGTTTTAAATTATTTTTCAATAAAAATGGCCTATAGAACAAATTCAAAAAAGACATAGTTGGATATATATAATAATATAATAAGCTTTATTCAAATTATATATATAATACTTTAAATAATTTCATATTAAAATTATGTGTTAAAAAACGTATTTATGTAATATATACATATATATGTATATATTATATGTAACGAAAATTCATAAAAACAGATAATCATAAATTATTCAATTCGAAATAAATTATTAAGAAAAATACATACACATAAATGGTAGCTTAGAAATGTTACATATTATTCAAAATTGGAAATATTTTTAGTTTAATAAATAATACAAAACGTTTCTTTATATATTAAATCTACTCAGAATATGGCATATTTTCCCGGTATTTCAATATGCTGCTTTGTGAAAACGAACTAAATATTCTTTATACCTTAAATCACAAGAAACGCCATACGAATAATATTTACTCCGAAAATTCGGATACTTTTTTATGTTCAAATTTCCATTGACAAAACACAGAAAAAGCAAAAAAGATATAGTATTAAAAACACTGAACATCTAAGCCAAATGAACTAAAATAATTAAATAAAAAATTTCGAGTTTTTTTACCCAACAATAATCTGTTATTGTTACAAAAACCGGGTTTTTAACCACAAAAATAAATTAAAAGTCAACCTGAGTTTATTAATTTAATAAACTTAGTTCAAAGGCATACATTATTCTTAGTTAATTTAATAAATAAAATAAATGTGTGAAATCAAACGTTGAAGTATAAAAATAATTATTGGTATTAATTTCAGAGAGAAAATAAAAAGGCTCCTCATAAAAATCATGAGGCGTTCGGAGGCGGCTTAGTATAATAAATTGTAGTTCCCTCCATTTGTTGAAAAAACATGAAGACGCCAAGCCGAAAATTGGGGAAGGAGCTCGGCCGAAAATCGCTTCAGCGGTTACAAAGCGCTAACTATTGTATAAATATTTATATATAATATATATATCTATATAAATATATATACATGTATACATTTAGAAAATTATTCACGCACATTTTCATGCAATTCAAAAAAAAAAATTATTGTTTTTATTTTTAATACTTAATCCAAAATTTAAATTAAAAAAATTAAAATGTTAAATAGTTTTTGAAATAAAAAGCTTGCAAAATGTTTAAATTCCTCATTCTCTTACGCTGGAAAATTCCATTTTCATGAATTCAATAAATATGAAATACTATAGCACAACTGTTTCTCATTTTCTCCATTCGATTTGACCTCGAAAAGCGCGTCGTTTTCCACGAAACAGTTTTAATCGTTCAAATTTAAGCCAATTTTACGCTTGGCATTACGATTTTATAAAACGCACATACTCGTATGTACATATGCTTACATATATCAGATTGAAAAAAGCTGGCCTTAACAATTTATCAACTGCTGTTATTATTGTTATTGTTTGGAATATTTTTCACATTCAAAAAATAAACCATATAAAAAAAAGCCGTTTTTTTTCTTTTTGCTTTTTGCTTTATATTTTTCACGTTATTTTGCCGTTTTTGCATTTACTTCTTGCTTCGCTTAACAAAGCTCGCCAAATGATTTGGTAAAATCGGTTACAAAAACAAAACACTATCCACAACAACAGCAGAAATATTAACAAAATATATACATCCCAATATATAATAATATACAAATTTATGTACATATTTATTTATTAAGAATAGAAACAAAAAATGTTGCCGTCATCATCGGACAATTTAAAACCATAGTCAACAGTCAATATAACCATTAATTAACGAATAATAGAACGGCATAGTGAAGCTATTGAATTGACGAGAAAACATTAAAATTTTGTAATAAAACTCTATATGTGTGATATATCTAATATTTGGATAATAATTGAGCAGAGAATTTTTTTTTTTTGAATAGCGAATTATAATTTCACAAAGGCCATGTAAAATTTAAGAATCATCGACGGCGACTAGTGGGCGCACATACATACTATATATTCGAAGATCACTAAAGCAAAACATTCTTTATCTTCATTCGAATTCATTATACTTAAAACTACCTATTTTATAACAATTTTATGCATTTTATATTGATATATTTAAAATATTTCCCTCTTATTTTATTTAAGTTTACTTCAATTTATTATATCAATTAAATTTTATATTTATATTTTATTTAATTTAATTTAATTTAATTTTTTTTTTATATTATTTTATTTTATTTTATTTTATTTTATTTTATTTTATTTTATTTTATTTTATTTTATTTAGTTTTATAGTATTATTTATAAAGCAACGCACTCCACTTCTCTACAAACCTAACTAAAATTGACTTTCGCGAAAATGACAATAGAAGCGACGGCTCAAAAACCGCCAAGTGTCAACTGGTTGGCCTTCTCGACGCCATCAAACGATAATAGTATTTTTTATACATTATTTTATTTTATCATTGCGTGCACTCGACACAATCTACAACTGTGGCTACAAGAGGAAACTGCAAAAAAAAAATTATAATAAAAAAATAAGAACAACAACATAAAATTGGTTAGCATGTAATCAGCAAGTGCGGCGCACAGAGTTCATTTCGGTCATTGAAAGAGAAAAAATAATTAAAATCAAAAGAAAAATAAAATAAAACCAAAGCTGTTTGCTGCCACATTGTCGATAGTTCCGCTAAGTGAACGCATAGCGTCTCACACACCTTCACCTGCGACCCACAATCACCATCAACAGTCACCGCCGGCAGTAGAAGCCACTGTTGTTGGCTGCGGTGAGCTACCATATACTCAGCTAACAACGGGACGCAGAGACCGCATGAGCTGCCGCACAGTGCTATCGCCACAAACCATAGAAAATCAGTCAGCCAGTGAGACGTGAAAAACAGAACGAAAGAGCAAAAAAAAACAAAAGCATTCCACTGTTCCGCTTTACAGTTCCTTCTTATCTTACATTTCTACATAAATTTTTACTTCTTTGCTGTTACTTTTCTTCTTCTTTCCTTTTTCTTCGGCGTTGTTTTCTTCTTCTTCTGCTGCTTCTGAACATTGCCATCTCCGGTTACATTGCGCGCTTTTGACAGGTTTCTTTGGCCAAGTCAGTGAGTTGTGGTGCTTTCTTCTTGCTCTTGTTGTCGCTTTTTCCTTCCTCCTCCATGTCCACTGCTTCAATGACTGCACCTTCCTCAAGGCACAAGTGGTTCAGCATTTGTTTGTATGCATATACGTGTACATGTGTTTGTGCGCTTTTGTATTCACATAAATTGTAAGGTGCAGTGAAAATTAGTGAAGAACGTGAAAAAGAAAAATAAAGAAACAATAACAAATACCGCTGAGTGCCACTTAATCGCCGGCAGTGAAGAAAGCGCCTTTCGAAATCATTGATGGGAAATAAGAACTAAGGAAAATGAATTTTAGTTATGTATATGTGTATGTATATGTGTATGCATATGTGTATGTATATGTGTATGTATGTATATGCATACATATTAATGTGAAAAGCAGAAAAGATATTAATTGATGATTTTCTCTCTTCCAGCAACAATAATAACTGTAACTAGTTTTAAATGAAAATTCTTGCACAAGAAAAAAATATAAACATACAAAAGCATTGAAAATAAAAAATCATAAACCAGTTAAAAGTGTACAGATATAAAGCGAAAACAAAAAAAAAAAAATTCAAAAATCTACAATACAAAAATTCAACAGCATCACAGACATAGCTAAACAACAACTTTTCCACGTTTGCTGGCATCCACCATTCGTTGCAGGTGAGTTACAATTTATCTCAACCGGCAAGAAAAGCCGCTTAATTTTTCATACCTCATACACACATACAAATATATGTAGAGAAATTCGTAAATATCCCACTGAGTATTTAGGTTTGGGTTTTAATTAAGATCATGTCAAGTAGTAGACTGCACATGTCTTCAAAGGCGGTTCTCAACAGTATCTCAACTTTATCTCAATAGTATCTCAATAGTATCCGGATTGTAGCTCAATTATGCATGAAATTTTTATTTTTTTGTATGCTTTTATTTATGTTTCACAAATTGAATCCAAAATACTGCAAGTTACCTGGGAATCATTATAAAAAAATATATTAAGCTGGTCACAGAACTCGGAGAAACCGATAAAACACAGTCATACTAATAGTTTTAAAAAGTTTCCTCTGTTCACTAACTTCACGAAAGATTACAATGTAGTGCATACTTGGTACATTTTTATAAGTATGAAGCTAAACTAGATAACAGCTTTATCCAAGGAACCTAGTCTTTTGAAGTCTTTACGTCGACCGGAATATCTGGAGAGCATTTTTCAAGTGAAACTGTCAGTCATAAATGAGACTGTCTGTTGTCTAATTTGAAAGTGGTTTACTGTAAACTCTTTTTGGATGGATAGACAGCGTTGAGGACCCTGCAAACTGTAACAGTGAAATCGGAAATAATAAATAATTGTTACAGATCTCATAACGTGGTGACTAAACCATTCTCTCCAAAGCTGTTAGGGATACCAGGTCAAAATAATATATGGAGGAATAAAATATGTGACAAACTTTTCATTTCCCTTTCGCTATCATGGAAAAGTATGGGCATGCCGTTCTACACTTGTAAGCACACTATACGAGTGTTATTTCTCTTAGGTGTTAGCTTATTAAGGAAAAATATCAATGGTTGCACTGTGACCAGCATAATGTGGCCAACATGACTTAAAACAAAAAGGTCATGAGAGCTTATATCTCTCAAACGTAACGTCTTCTTAGGGATCATCGCAGGCATGCAGAGAGGTTGTGCACTTATGCTGAAGCTGTAGATAGGAGTACGAACTTAAAACAGACATGCACGTTATCGAAACACCACCCAAGGTAGTTTAAAAGATCGTGAGACCCGAGTAATACTGCTAAAATTATGATCAGAATATTTTCGTCAACTCGAATGCTACTTATGCAGACTTCATCCCGACATATCTTACGCGCGTACTGCCTGCAATGAGTGCCCGCATGAGAGTAAGCATCTCTTTGCATGCACTCGAAAACAAAATCATGTCACAACAATCTCCCCCCGGTTTCGCATGCGTTAAATTAGCTCGTTTCCTGAGCCTCGCTTTAAATGAACTAGACATCAAAGACTAATTTTGGGCAGTCCGTAGGCAAGGATGAGATAGTTGCTAGGAGAACAATGACAATATTCTCTACCGCACATAGAACACATATATATTATAAATATATATTTCAAATAAAACAACCGAAATCTGTCAAAAGAAAAGAGCTAAGATTATATATATATAACTAGTTAAACGGTTTGCCCGATTACAGCGCTCTGATCAAACGCACTTTGTGAAGGGGATTCTCCTTCCTTCTTTTTAGATCCGCAAACCATTTAGTGAGTTTTATGAAGGAGACTAAAGATGCCTACAGATATAAGCTCCATGAAATAATCGAAGAAGAAATTTCCGAAGAAACAATAACGTAGGGCTCTTAGAGCTAGGCAGTGACCAGGATAACGTTCCATCGATATCTCCTCATCTATGTCCCTACAACTGTGACAAGCAGCTTATGTTTCCACCATGAATCCTCATCTAACAGTGTCCGTTTATTATGCCACTTATGGAGCTCTTTTTAAGAAAGAGTAAATACTTTGTTCTGCTTACAGCAGATTTCCCCATCACCTTACATGTGGTTTCACTATTTATGCCAATCGCTGTTGGCCTCTCTAGTGAAGGCTAGCAGCATTAGCAGATACTTTGCAGAGGAAAAAGGTAAGCCCTTAGACTTAGGGCTGCTAAAATAAGGAATTTTTAATAAAAATGTTTCAAAATGTTATAATATTGTTTTATGGGGAAAACAAAATTTCTTTGCTGTTGGCAAAACTAATTCTCACTGCTTATTAGGTAGACGTGTAATTTGAGCCTCTTATGTATACTTCAGTGTCCGCTATCTTCACACGTATGCTCAAATTTGATATTTTATGACAACGAAATAAAAGAGAGGAGGAGCGGCAAATAAAGCCCAAACAGGAAGTTACACGCGGAGGCGATTAAGAACGAAAGAAAGAATTCAATAAATTGTATTACAATTGGAAGAGTGGCGTGATGGCTTGATTTCCAATTGGTAGTTACTTTTTTCATTTTTTTCATTGTTTTTTTTTTTTTAGTTTACTGTATTTTTTTAGCTGCTGTGATTATTTCCTACAACGTTCAATGACATCAACCAAATAGTTGATCGCTCTGAGTTCAATCGAAGTTTTCAATGTTAGATTGTTGAACCGTGTGGGCAGTGGTTGTGAGTACGCACATACGAGTTTGTAGGTTTGGCTTAAATTAGAGATTTATATTCAGAATTCTGTTTTATAGTTAGTATGTATGTATGTATGAATAGTTTAAAAAAAATTTAAATTCTTAAAAAAAAACTAAAGCTTCCAAAAGATTCTAGGGGTCATTATAAGGAGAATAATATTTGATTTACAAAGAGTAAAACAGGAGAAAATTCTAAATCATCGCTACACAACCAAATACTTTGTTCTGTAAATGAGCCTTCGATAAATTATACAAATTATACAAATGAAATCTTTACTAAAAATCATAAAAACTATATGCGAGTATATGTATGCATATACCACCGTCCGACAGCTACAACGTTGAATCGGTAAATCTTATGAAATATTAACACAGCGCCTGGAAGTCAACATTGATCGTCAGACGCCGACATTAAAGCGCATGCTGAAGCTGTTAAGCCGAACCCTTAAGCACTCACGCGTACCATCCCATCGGTATGGGTACCACATACACGCTTAGCCTGCTCGATGCCAACTTTACTCTGGCAAATTGGCGATAAATTTGTGTAGCGATCAATTTTCTTATCTGACATAGCGTTGCGCTCACTAAATTAGCACAACTGGACGTTTGCAGCAGACAAAGTGCACACAGGTGGCGGTCAGCCGAAGAAGATGCCTTTTCATAGGAAGTCAACTTGTGGCTGCGTGCATGACTAGAACAGAAAGTAGAAGTAATTAGAAGGCAAGAAATGGGCTCAAGGGCTACGACACTGCAATGTGTCTAGCAACAAAACGCTAGGCGAGTTGGTTCATCCCAGACTACTAGTGGTCGATCACACAAGAAGCTACAAGCGAGGCAGATAGTATATGTCAGTGCTAAGGTTGCTGAGTTTTTTTCAGTAGTGTACATAAATTTTATTTAACCGATTTTAAGTCTGATATAAAGGAGAAGAGCCGATGGAAGAGACGCAATGCAAATACTAAATTAAGTTAATGCGTACAATTTTAAGCAGAATTTGAGGTTAGAGTTGGTTGTTGCCTATAAAAAATGCATTTCTGCACTGAATGGCTAGCATAAGGGTAGGCATTTGTATGACTTCACCATCTAGATGGAAGAGTTTTGCAAGTAAAATACCTTTATTTCCCTTAAAAAAGGGTTTTCTTTTTAAGTGAATTGAAAAGTTCTTTTATTTGTAAACATAATTAAACTGAATTCTAAAAAAAATTTTCTTTGGGGTCAAATTAATTCGTTACCTTTTTTTTTTGCCTAAAAAGGGCTTTTTTATGGAAAAATTTCTTTGTTTTATTAAATTTTCAATTACGGTATCTTCCATAGGAAGTTATAACTTTTTCCTTATCTCTCTGACAACTTTCGAATATATTTTCTCAAAATGAGTACTCTCTGTTTTCGTTGAGTTTATCAAAAGACCTGAAACTGTGAAGAGAGAAAATCTAAATCTCCTACAGATGCCGTTTAGTTCACATAAATCCGGGGATTTTGGAAGAAGCAAAGAATCAGAGACAGACGCTAAGGCACATAAATCATTTTTGACAGATGGGGAAACCTTTCAAGTAGAATAAGCTTCCAAGATTGGCAACAATTTGCAGATGGAGCCATCTTTTGAGAACGGAGAACATTATTTTTTTCCTCTCTCACTGAAATCTCGTTTCGTATCGACGGTAAGAGATGGGGACCATTGTTTACTACTCATTTTACGGATTCATTCAACAGAGCATCAGACAGGGCTACTTATAGCAGCAAGTTTGTAAAAGTTCAGTGCACTACCTCCACACTCTTTACAGATGCCGTGCTCTCTACTTCTTGAAATTCTGCTCAAACTTCTCCCGAGAGATCTATAACGGAAAATCCATACGAACTGCAATGCCATAAAACTAAACGCAACTCAGTCTTGGAGGAACCACATAAACCAAGACAAAATACTAAACTCTAATTCCCGCTTGGAAGATGTGAACTACACCAATTTCGTCTTCTGCTTCGATAAGACCTTCTCAACATACATTTCTGAGAGAAGCGATTGAGAAAATGCAGCAGTTGTGGATCATATACCACTAGCCGTCTTCACCGATGGTTCTAAACCAAATAGAAGGGAAAGTGGGCTGTTAAGTTTACTCTGAATCTCTTGCCATAAAATTTAGTAGAAAAACTTCCGGCCCCTGCAGCGTGTTCCAAGCAGAACTAACCACGATAACGGACGCCTCTTCAAGGTGGATAGTTTCTAATACGTTAGGTAGGTCGCTCCATTTGTTGGAAGAACTTCAAGACGCAAAACTACAAATTTGAGGAGGAGCTCAGCCGAAAATGACCTACACGGTCAAATGTATATGTAACTTAGTACAATATATTCTGACAGTCAGGCTGCCTTTAAGTCTCTGCAATAAAATGTATGCGAAACGTCGGGGATATGGGACCCTGGTCATAGGCTCATTACAGGGAACTGCTTAGCCGCACGTAAACTCTGAATGTTTCGTGGGCACAC